CCGGCAACGGATCGCAACCCTCAGTGTTGCCCCTGTACCGGACCGGGGACTGGCAACGGAATCGCAACCCTCAGTGCTGCTCCCGCGCCTCGCTCAGCCAGTGAGCGGGAACCGGTCTGTATGTGGGATCCGAACCCTCGGGCGGGAGCACCGCCGTGCTTCCCAAGCAGCGCACTTATCCAGTGCGTCACCGGGCCGGCCTTGCTCTGCTAGTTTCTGCCATGTGAGACCCCTACACTGCTGTAGAGCCACCACCAAAGAAGACCCTCACCAGATATGTTCCAAGCCTCCAAAACTGTAAGCAATAAATTTTGTTTTCTTATAAATTGCCCAGTTCCAGGTATTTTGTTACAAACAACAGAAACAGACTAATACAGGGGTTATTCTACCTTGCCCTGGGCCTAACTCTTTTGGGCTTGGACTCATAAATGCCCAGATACAACTCAGGGTGCTCCTGCATGGTGGATCTACTATCTTCTTTGTCATAGGGCAGCCTGAGACTATGGGCCAGGGCCTACGGATGCCCAGAGGAGTGGTTCTGAGGGATAATAATAATAGTAATAGTGATGATAATGGTGATTGTGATAATAGTTAATATTTATTGAGCACTTCTCTACCAGACAACATTCAGTCCTTTGAATATATTAGTTCCAATCTTCTAACAATGCAATGAGATATATATTGTTTGCATTTTACAGATGAAAATATTGAGACATAGAAAGGTTAAATAATTTTCTCAAGATTATACTAGTAAGTGAAAAATTTGCCCCCCAAAATTAAGGAAAAGGCTGGGGCCAGAAGTTTTAAGGGAAAGCAGGGTCTTGGTGCCAGGCTGGCGGCTGTGGCCTAGGCCTGCAGTGGTGATCAGAACAGTGTGGACGTCATACCAGCTCAAGAGGAGCCTTGGGAGTAGGACCACTGAGGCACATCGAGTTGGGTAGTGGTGGCACAGGCAGGGACTCAATTGTGGCAATATAGAAGCTGGAGTAGAGCAGGGGAGACAGGGCAGCTGTAGCAAGGATGTACCCATATCAGCTATCTGCTGGAACTGCCAGAGAGACAAGAAGAGGAAATCTCATACTAGAAGCCAAGGTCCTAAAAGAACGCAGGAGAGAGCTACAAACACAAAATCTACATACACATCAATGTTTTTCCTGTTCAACAAATATTTATTAAGTTCCTAATATGTGCCAAGTA